GGGGGGGGGGGGGTATGCCCGTCCAAAAAAATCCGTCGCGCCAACTATGGGGAGCCATAAGAGTCAGCCTAAAGCTCTGATTTTCGTTGTTGTCTGTCGGCGTGCGGGTGAGGCATCATGCGGTGTTCATGCATTTGTTTAGTTTCAGCCCTCACTCATGAGGGGGGTAGAAGACCTTGTAGCGACAGCAAGACGTTGCCGTTGAATACATTTCGCTTCTAGGGAGTGGCCTTACGTGCAGCCGTCGGTAGTGAGAATCGGGGTTGAGTACGGGAGGCGAGGAAAGCAGAGAAATAAGAAATTGCCGATTTAAGAAATTCAGCAGGATTTGGCTGCACGACAAAATAAGAAACATGATATATAAAAAACTGAACGACATACGCTGAGTTAATAGCCCACAATAAGAATTCGAGGCTGGACCTGAAATAAGCGTTTCTTAATTGCGGGCGCTAACTGATGTACAGCAGTGCTGTTTTGAACTGCATGGTACTGCTGTTGTCGCTATGTACACTCCACGCAACCCTCTGCCACGGCCCGCTGATCCAAACCATCTCACCTTCAGTAGGCATCAGCTATCCTCCACTAACAGGTGTCACGGAATCCAGGCGTGCATAGAGGTGCGTGCTACTCTTCCCTCCCGCGTGCTCCTCCTATCTCATGATGTGTGGTGATCTCAAGATCTACAATAGGGAGGGAGGTGGGGGTCCCCTAGACTGTAAAAGACAGCGCCTGGCGCCGTCGCATGGGGGTGGTTGGGTGGTGAGTAATTACGCCGCCTGCGAACCGGTATCTGAACCAACAGACCCCCGCATCCCGCATCCCGCTGCACTTGGGGCTTGGGGCATGGGGTTCCTCGGGCGTGTTGCGTTGCGTTGATTAATGCCGTTGGTGAGATCGTGTTTCAACAAACACACCGGAAGGATGGAGCAGCAAGAGATGGAAGGGGGCTTGGAGGTGATGGAAGCTGACCTTGCTGAGACCGAGAATTCCATTTATCACCTCGTGCGCTCCAACGTTGAACTGGCCCAGGTACCCTACACAAACTGCTGTACTTGACAGTTGTACATTGCTCGGTTGAACCTCTGACTGGCAGGCATGTATCCCCGGCGACGGACTACGCCAACTATTGTTAGAGCTATCGCTGGTACCAGCTGGTTCCACTAGTAGGAGTACGCTATGGTGTAGTCTACAAGGCGTTTCGTGCGGAGCGACAGGCAGACACACCTTGCTGAGGGAGCGAGTTTGTGTTGCGTACTGCGTCACGGACTCGGTATCCACCCCCCCCAAAATAAACTTGAAGCCCGTTCATGGACCTGTCACCATCGCAATAACCAGCTAAGCTTCCGTAGTACACTGCATAAATATGTTCCCCTTTTTCTTTCCTAGCGGTGCGGAACAAGCAAGGGAGCAGGCGGTTTGAGACCTTTTTTTCGAAAAATTTACGGGGGGCATATGCCGCACCGGTCCTTGGTGTCAGGATTTCCAAGCACAAGCAGAAATTTCGCCAGAGTTATTCTGATTGTTGGCATCCACATGGATACAAACATGTGTGGACGAGGATCACCGGTTTACGTCTACAGGTCGTTTCGCAGATGTGCACGTGTACGCAACAACTACTCATACAACGGCTATCCTCCCTACATACAGGGGCCCAACAAAAATAATCAAAATATTTTGCGCGAAGCGCGAAAAAGAACGGGCGGAGAGACAGACGCGAGGCGTAGATAGATGTGGATGGAGCCTCACAGAGAGGTCACCACTGCTACTGCACATGCTCACACCTCACCCAACATCACCAGTCAGCCGTGTACGCAGGGCTGCTGCTGTTTAGCAGCGCGGGGACGAGTGAAGGTGTTGTGTACGGTGTGGATGAAGCTCTCATGAATCAGCTGCTGCTGCTGCTGCTGCTGCTGCTGCCGCGGTGTGGTTGTGCACCACTTTCTTCCCTCGCATACGCTCGTAGCAGCGGCAAAGGGCTCTAAAAATCGCCCCCGACGCCCCCTATGTCCGTGTGTACTTGGTCGCGTTGGCCGGCAGCGTGTGTACATCTCCTTGTCTCTCTACTTTGGGGCGCGTCTGTTGTGGATCAAAAGAAGATCGGCCTGCAGACAGACCGGCGAAGATAGCCGCAGATTGATTGACTTGTGTGCACTTGCTTCACTCGCTTATACGCTGCTAGCAGCAGGCAACGGGCTTCAAAAATCGCTCTCGATGCCTCGTATGATGTGTTCCTTTGGACACCTTGGCCTAAAGCAGTTTGTAAGTCTCATTGTCCCTGTTTCAGGGATGCATCTGTGTAGCAAGCTCAAAAGATCGGCCTGCAGATTGATGAAAGCAGCATGCAGCAGCAGCAGATTCGACCTGTGTCGCCTCCCTCGCGTGTGGTGCTGCCGACAGCAGCCAACCGGCTCTGGCAGTCGAACCCGACCTCCTATTATGTGCGCCTTCGGCTGCCCTTGGTTCACAGCAGTTTCGTGTGCTGCTGTGCTGGTTTTCTCGTGTGTTGTCTACGTGTGTCATGTGCTGCTGCTGCTGTGCTACGTCTTTCTAGGGGCTTCCGGCTCGTCGGCGTGGCCATCAACCAATCATCTGTCTCTGTCCTACATAATGTCCTACATAGTCGACATGTAATTGGTGGTAGGACGGGTATCTACCCGGTTCTACCCCTTTAATACATAGATGCTATATTCTTAGTTCTTCCGTTCCAACATAAGCGTTTGCCTACGTGCGGATGCTCTGCCTCTATTCAAATGCATTCGGTGTAAGTGGAGCTACCATATCTTCAGGGCCGTGTTCGCCGCTCCGCAGCTTGTTGTAACCGAACCAAACCGCAGCCGAAACGGGGCTAGCTGCCTGCATGATCCCGTGCTGCTATCAATATGCATCACACGCATGCAGCCATAGCACTCTAGAACTGCAGAGTTGGTGCCATGTTCCCATGTCTCGCATTTTTTTCGCCCAGGAACCAGCACCGCGTGCGGGCTGTCCGCTCCTGTACCCCGTATGCCTACGTTATGGGCTACAACCGTATTGAGCCGGCTGCTGATTGGCGATCCTTCGAACAAATGATCATGGACTCCTTTACGCCCTCCCCGATATCACAGAAGATGGTTTTCTAGGTCTCACAGCAAAATAGATCGTTGGGTGGAAGGTCCTTGCAAATCCCTGTCCTACCCTTATTCGCCGATGTGCAAATTTCCCCTCCCATCCCTGACTTGGCCTCCCCTCTTGTGGGCGACAGTTCTTGAACGGAGCGCCGGGAGACGAAGACCTCGAGCAAGCCATCGAGGAGAACAAGGCAGTGCTGGTAAGAAGACGACATCGCGTGAAGACCCTCCGACTCGCCATCTCTGACTTGAAGACTCAACGCCCGCACATGGCCACAGCAGCGGCGCCCTCCTCATCAGCACGGATCGCTGTCAGTGCCTCCGGACCTCTGGTTGCCCAATCGATGGGTAGACACAATGGTACCTCTAGTGAAATTACTGGTCGTACGGTGAGCCCAACGGAAGTTAGTACTGGAGGCGGGTCCGGTGACGTCATCAGCACCATGACCGCTTCAATGAGTCTCGACGCAGCACCACCAATCCCTCCCGCCGGGAGCAGCATCGTGGCGGGCAATAGCCAGGCATCGGACAAGACCCCTGAAACTGGCGGTTCAGATCAAGTTTCTGCGGCAGCTCCAGAGACAGGCGGCGGAGATCGTGACGAAGGGGGGGTGTTGCTTTGAGTCATCAGTCATCTGCACAGGCCAGCGTTGCTACTGCTGTACTTCGAAGTAGATGTCTTTGTCTTTTGGTCGTCGTATCGGATGTGCCGCCGGTTGTAGCCAAGACCGGTGCACACAACGTGCCTCGTTCCTCCTTGTGAAATGCATGCCTGGATAGTACGCACTGGCTCTGTCTCTTTCGGAACACAGTTATTTAATAGTTGCTCGTTCTCGATGCTTCCAGAAGTCGACTTTCAGCGTGGAAAGGTTTCCTGTTTCCTCTGTAACGGCGACCATACGGAAAAGCGATGAACGAACAAACCAGGCTCGAGATGGTAGACTTTTCTAGCCAACATGACAGTGCAGCCCTCGCCGTTGTTTTCGCATGTTGGTGTTCCACAAGCTGAGGAATACGTTGATGTGCTTCTTGTTTCCGTTCGCAACAACGAGGATGAGGACAGGCACCGAGTGATCAGTACCGAAGCGCATAGAACAATCGCTTGCAAGATGCCCCCCGCTTGGGACTCTCAAGACAAGAGTTTGAGGCATCGATCGTCTTCGTGGTTTTGACGTGCCTCCTAGACAAAGCTACGGGGAGTGTATCTGGCAGATTAAAGCCGCAGCTACGATTATTTTGGTGTCTTCTTCAGATACGCAAGTCCAAGTTGTAGCTGTTCGGGATTGCGTGATGGAACACTATTGGTTTGGTCTGGGCTTCTTGAAAAATGACGAGGAAACCAGCATGGGGGCTCCGTTTGGTAGACAGGATGCCGGTTTGGAGGATACATGGGAAGTGTCGATGGACTACCAAGCGGCGGCACATCGCCTTGTGGTGTGAAGGGTCGTGCGTTATTGTCGATGTCCATCTGTGAAACTGGGCGTTGTTGGGCCATTTCCGTGCCGTTTGCTCTCTGGGTTGTGCCACCGTCTGCTGCCCCGTATTGGAGCAAAGAACGTCAGTCGAAAGTGAGGAATATTGATGATCCATAACCCAACGATTATCGAGCCTCTTTCACGGTCCACAGCTGTAGAGACCGGCCGTTACAAGGTCACTACCAAATTGAGCACGGTGTTTGGCCTACGCTGTGCCACGCAGTTGGGAGGCCCCAGTCCTATTTTCACACCACTGGAACGTACTCATGGGGCAAGCCGACAATCAGGTCTGGCGTTATTATAAAGCAACTACTGGAGGCGCGTAACGTGAACTCGAGAGCATTTTTGGTCAGAGCTCTCATCATGATGTCCGGTTTTCGCACGGGTAGTACATTCTTCTGACCCGCCACAACCATGACGAACGGTAATACAACAGCCACATATATACGGAGTAGCCGTTTTCAGTCGTGTCCGCCGTCCTTTTTGGGGATTTTTTTACTGGTGCTTCTCTCTCAATTTAGATCTCTCGCTCTGTCTATATCCTTACTAGATACCTCCCGCATCGGCATCCGCCCCTGTCGTCCGCCCTCCTTTGCCCTGTCACTCGCCACTCGCCCCCCGGCTAATCCGAAGCCTTCGAACTGCGACCTGGCCGTTCACGCCAGTCACGCCCCATACGGTAAGTCATGCCCAACACGCGAGTTAAGAGCTCTCTATCCTTGAGAATACATTCGGCGAGAAATAAAATACATGCAGCCCGAGGTCAATAAAGCCTCTGCGTCCAAGGAAGGGTCTGCAAAAATAATATACGCCGTTTCGAACACTGAACAAATGCTACAATGTATTTGAGAACCTGAATCTGCTACTGTGATATCAAAAGTTTGGTTGCTGTATTGGAACCCTTCTCAATCTTAATCGAGCGCCTGAGGGGTTCACCGTCAACCCCATGCAGGTGATAAAACTATCCGTGCACTCGTACAATCTGCGTAGTGCATGGGCTTTTGAGGCTACTTTGAGCTCAGTAACCATCTCTGTGGCGTGAACTAAAAACTGTCAAGCCTAGATCCTGAAACACCCAAACTCCTAGAGGTCGACAGGATGCGAAACCCATACGACTTCAACCCTCGAAAAAACCCTACCCAAACCACCCTTTGCCCTGCAAGTTCGACGAAGCATCGAACGTCTGGGTAGAGGTCGACCGGACCCCACCCAAAACAACCCAACTCTAACCCTAACCTTGACCCACACCCACACATCCAAGCGCTACGTTCTGGACAACGTTGTAAACAAAAACCTGAACGAAAAAACCATGGCGAGTACATTTTCAGCCTTTGTTTGGTATGTTTGGGGCGGAACGGGCGTGTGAAGACTACTGAAAAAATGGGCAATGCACAACATACCACTACAATTCTCGACGGACGACATCGTTGGCAATCTTCAACCCTCGAGACACCTTATCCTTCCCAGCAATCTGTCAAAAAACACGAGTTGAGGGGAATCCTCCGAAAACACCTCGTTCTGAACGCCATCCGCAACACTACACCCACGCCGCGTCGGCATTAGCGGTCAGAGCCGGTGGATTGTTTAGGAGTCGCCGGATGGGTTTGAAAACCACCGGGTCTAGGACGTCCACGTTGATGGGCGAAAAGTCCGCATTGAACAATCTCCCTCCAGAGCGAAACAACGGCCTGTCCACGTGGTTCCACCCGGAGCTGCAACACTGGACCGTCTTTGGCTCCACTCTGAATGCCTGCACGTACATCGCCGTGCCCGGCGCCGGACAGATGTAAATTGTGTGGAACATAGCCCAGCCAGACTTGCTCAAGTCGTAGTCCGCCGTGAACACGCCCCCGGCATTGGTCACCTGCTCCCAAACTTCCTGCTAGGAAGATCAACGTCAGAGAGTGGGTTGGCGGGGGGGGTCAGCGGCAATCAGATATATGTCGTGCTGGGCGACTGATGTATGTCATCGCTGCACCACGAGGGGCTTCCTGTGTACCTCTCATACTCTGTCTCGACTCAATTCTTCAGATTTTTGTGTAGGCCACCCGTCAACCAGGGACACCTACACGCGTTGATCCAAATACTTCACTTGCTGGCACTGGATGCAAGCACACACTATAGCTACGACACACGCGCCCCCATCGAACTTCGTGACCTTATTCCGTAGTACACTTTCGTTCCTAAGTGGAGCCTAAGTAACAGCGGCCGGGGGTCAGGTCGGACGTGCGTGCTTTCCCCAGCACACCTTCCTCCATGCACTGCACCCACCTTGATCAGGCGGAAGGCCACCGGAGTCACCCATGGGCGAGGGCATCCGTGGCTGGGATCAACCCCGAATATCACCTCGGTGGCGTTTGTTTCACGGAACCCCTCACCCGGAGTCTTTCTCAATGGGGGAAACCTCTTGGGTTCGAGTGGCTCGTCGCTGACGTGGATGATTTGCGCGTCAGTTTCCGTCTCGAGGGCCTTCAAGCGCTGACGTGGCGGTTGTATGTTGAACGACGACCGTTCGTATATCCTCCTCCTTTCGTACGACAGCGGATCTCGGCGAAAGAAGCCGTCGTCCGGGTTGATGTACGACTCCGAAAACTTGTCGTCTTCACCAATCACTGTGTGGACTTCGTGCGCCTCGACGTTCACGGTTCCCCTTGCGTCCCGTTCGCACTCCAACCGAAAAGCCTTGAGACACATCCCTGGCTTCAACTTCGATCGCCGCCTTCGCAACGGCGCCTTCGACTCCGACATGGGTAACCTGAAACCTAGTCATTTCATAACGACGAAGAAACTGTTCAGAACGGTAACTCCTTCGGGCAAGCTATTCGTGGGTTGAGTGGGTGAATGGTTTCGTCGTTGTTCGTTGCCCATATGCAGTCATCTACCATGAAACTTGTGGGAGTGTTTCCCATGTGTACTCCTAGTGCAGTACCAGGTAGGCCGTTCAAGATGTATCCACGCCATGCCTCGATCCAGCCAAACGCCGTCTTGACCAGGGTGAACTCGACCTAAAAAAATCGCTCTATATATTCCAGGTTAGGTGTTTGATGTAGTGTTGAGCCTTTCGGGTTCGCTGCGTTTGCCTCAGGATGCACCGTGCAGTGAAAGACTTCTTTGCAATCACGTTGGACGTGTGCCCCAAAAAGAAATTCCTTACTGCGCTCATCTCTTGTACACCTGGTTTGGTTGGGGCGCAAGCTGTGAGTGACAGCGAGCGTAAGATCCAGTACCAAGGCCAAAGGGTGGAGGGAGGAGGGAAAAACCCGCGGACAACTCGAACGCGGAAATGGCGACCTTAACCAGTGTCGAAACAAACCCTTTCGCGTTCTTCTCTCCCTTCGATATCACGTATCCCTCCGCTAGCACGGGGACCCACATAGATTTGCCCAAAGAGAACATTCTCGTGTTTCTATGCCACCACGGGCCAAAATAGTCAAAATTACTTATTCTTTCCCGTCGTACCCATCCATGGCAACGCGTATTTATGTATTTCGTCCCTGGTACCGAGGACTCAATTTAGCAGGCACGAAGAGGCGCTTTTGTTCAGAGACGAACACTAATCCTAAGGCTTGCTTCGATCATGGCACAGTAAACTATTTTCTGCGATCGAATTGTCCACTTGGTTTTTCGTCACCCACAGCACGTACCCGGACCGAGTCAGGTGTAACCCGCTCCGACCTAGACGGCGCGTGGGTACACAACATGTTTACTTGCACGTGCCGCCTGGGACGCGCCGTGTTTTCCATGTCCCCGAGAGCCAATTTTCCACGGTCTCCAAGGGAAGCATCGCATGCTGTCTCTTCCCTTAGTCTACCTCCCATTGGTGCTTTAGCAAGACACCCAAATTCGCACGGTGTAACCTAGCTCTGTGGGGGTATCTTCGTCGACTCTAGAGTGGTGTAAAGACAGCCATGGAACCTCGCACAACAATAAATGGTTTGTTGTTCGTTGCCGTCAGCACAGCAAGTTAATTTATAGGGTTTTTTTGCCAACCCCAGTTACTTGTTCTGGTCTTCGTCCAAGATACCCACCAACAACTACTTTCTGGCTGGTGGAGCCCCGACGCGGAAAAACATTTTGGAGGACATTATGTAGGAGCGGCATGCACATCGATACGCCGAAATCTGTTGCCGGGGGGCGTGCTGTCGAAGGCTGCAGCAAACTGTAGTCCGAAAAGTCCTCTGACCTGCATCCATACCATTCACAATCAAACGATCTCACGCACTGTCATCCACTCAATTTTCCCAACTGTAGTATTACGTACCAAGGCTCACCCTACAGTTCAAGAATTGGATCTGTGACAGCGCGTACAGGAATGCATAAAAAATGGTATGAACCTATATCTTGTTTGCGGATTTCGGGCCGCAGCTAGCTGCAGCCTTCGACAGCATCGCCCCAGCAACAAATCTGGGCGTACCAAAACACGAATGCATACCGTTGCTCGATGGTGTCTTCAACTGGAATACATTTATGCCCAGGTCGGGACTCCGCAACCCAATGAGCTTTCTTTGGCGAACTCCCGCTGTTGTCGCTGCTTTGTCTTGAACTATTAATGAACCGCGGAGCGCGAAGCGCGACCGTTCTTTTCTCCCCGTCCCAGGAGGAAGAAACAGGCTCTATCTACCAGGGGCCAAAGTTTCTAAAAGTTACCGCCTGAATTTTCTCTCTTTTTCGACCAGCACGAGGTCTATAGAGCACCGATTGACGATCTGTTGGCTTGTGACGAAGAATAAAATAGGGCGCTCTCTTCACCACAATGGTTTGGTCGTGCTCCGGCAGCAGATGGTCGTGCTTCACCGGCATTTATACCCCAAAACCATAGGAGATTCTCACCCGCATCCCCGGGAGTTGTCAAGGTAATGGAGGACCAAAACATTGGAGACCTCCCACCCACCCACACGTAGTCACGCAGTTGGAACAGAGGAAGCACTCAGCTAAACACACAACACCGCTGGGAGGGGCAAGACAGCACTAGCGGAGGAAGGGCGCCATGCACACAGCTCGTGGCGGATGCCATTGTCATTGCTGCTGCTTCGGTGTGTGAGGAGGGGTTACCTGGAAACAAACCAGTCCACAGGAAAAAAGGCCTTTCATTGGTGTTGTGTCACTCTGTGCAGAGAAGCTACCGAAAATCCAATCGGTGGGGGAACGTACGTATGACGCCTACCGCAGGTGGCACAAGATACCACACCCCCTGCATCGATTCTTAAGCTCGAGACTCCACGTCGAAGAGGATGCCTAGACCCAGCGAGACGTTGTCGGAAAGCTCTCGACGAGACGGTTCCAACATCACAATTATCGGCACCGCCATTCTTTGTGGTGTGGAGCAACCGAGCTTTGAAATTGGTCCAGGGGGTGTGGTATCTTGTGTCACCTACGATACTGGTGTATTCGTGTATGCACAAGCCAACAACGGCCGTTCGTTCCAATAGCCTTTTTTCTTTTGATGACTAGGACTCAAAACTCAACATGATCGACTGCACCCGCCATCCCGCACAAAAGAATGGGCAGTCTCTCTGTGAGGTTAAGTATATTTTCTAAAAAGCATCGCAGATGTGCAACGTATGAAGTCGGCTACCCCGCGGCTCATTGCCCCGCCCTATCTAGTAGTATTGGTGAGATATTTTTTGCTTGGTTTGAGAGAATCTGTTGTGTGGTAGACTATAATACGTGATAACTGGCTATTGGAGACAAGCCCCAACCGTTGCTTTGCGTAACAGCTCTCTCTAGGATGATGCGTTGCGCAACACTTCCCCGACTGGTCTTACGTGTCGCGTGTGTGATTGCTGGGTCGGTCATTTGGAGGTCAGTCAAATTGTCAAGTCTTCCTTCATGGAACGTACCAGGCCGTGCCCCCCATCGATCCAGTCAACACCTGAGATTCAAACAAGTTGCCCAAGCAAGAAGCAAAACAAATGTAGTCTAAATATACAGTTCGGAGAGGTCCGTCTACAAAAAAGAGGGCAGATTTCGTACACTACTTAAAAAATAATGGGCACAGCGAGCTGCAGTATGTCCTGCTGCTGAATACTCCGGAGTATTGCGTATGTAGTGTACTGTACGTACATTGATCCATGCACTGCTGCGTAGTAAAAAACGCCATCTGTCCCCTCCTCAGGTTTGAGAGAAACATAAAATGAGGTGGAGAAAGAGAGAGAAAAAGCAGCAACAGGCCTACTGCTGTTTCCTCGCTCGCCCCTCTCTTCCGCGGCAATAAGCTACTTGCTGCCTGCGTCATCATGCGATGAAAGGCAAGATGCGGCGGCACTGATACTGTTTCGGGGTATCACGAGAACCAACTATAAAATTTTTTCTGCACCCCCTTCAACTGGTAGGGTCTCGCCGTCTCGGCTCCGATGCACAGGTGCCGAAGAGGGTATGGCATGAATGACGTCGCGCTCTGTTGTAGCCTCTCCGACCCTCTACACCCCGTGACTACATGCCGTCCGCTCATAGAGGGGGCTCTGCTTCTCTTTGAACCTTCGAATCCCCCCGAAAGTGTATAGTCTAGTCATGGGCGGATCTACATTTCTTTGTCCTCTTTCTTGTGCAAGCTTGTTGTTGCTGTATTGTCTGACGGATGTGCGCAGTCTGTCGGCACTCTTCGCGACAGTGGTCATGCAACGGGATGCAAAGGAGTGCATAACTCACGGGCGTCAAGCTATTGCTTTGGCCCCATTTGGCGTATCGTGCGTAACTGCACAACTTATCTGTCGGCGAAAATGTTTCCGTTGTTGTTTGCAGAGGCACCGTGGGCGTGATGGGCAGCAGTAGGAACTCAGGCCAGCGCCAGAAGCGCTGTGCGGCTTTGCTCAACAGGAGTCTGCATATGATGTGTCGCTAAGGAAACTGCCCGGTCGGGATTGTAGCGCAGTCCACATCCCCGTCGAAGGGCAAAGTTCAACTGGGGGGTACCAACCATCATCCGTGCTGCCTCATCTTTCGAAATTGTTCCTCGTCTCCATCCAACAAGCTACAGACATGTGTGCCTCCCCCAGCTCTCATGATGATGAGTGTTGGGCCTGATCGAACACTTGGTATCCGACTATGTAGCATCACTCACCGCGGACAAGACGGTTACTCCACCGTAGCTGTGCTCCTCCACCTCTAAGCAGTACTCTTCACCAGCAATTCTTTCTCACCCCTCAGTCAGGTGCCTCTTGGCTGTGCCGTCGCCTCGCTGTGTGTCGTGTGAAACCGCTGTGTGACTGAACAACAGCAGAGAGGCAGGCCCCTTTGTCAGAATTGACACCGCCGTGCACCGGGCAGCCCAAAAATTGTTCACGCCCTAAAAAGTTGAATCCCGATCGTCTAACTGCGAGTTCGGTGGGATGTCAACAACTCCTGTTTTCCTTGTTGTTCCTCTCCTTTAGTGCTTGGTCACATACATACGCGGCACAGGTAGACAGAGACGGAACTGTCCCACGGGGGGGGGCTTGCAATGACGACACAGAGACACAGACACAGACTGGCGTGTGGGAGACCACCGGTCTGCATCTGAAACTGGTGTAACGACGTTCGGTGTGGTCCGGGTTGATACTTCTGTGGCGCACTGATTGGTCTTCTTCGTGACAAATAACCCGAGGCGTATGCATACCATAGCAGGCCCTCGGCGCCCCTCTGTGTGTGTGTGTGCTCACCTCAAGCGAGAAGCAAGAGGGCAAGGAAGAGAGACAGAGATAAAGAGAGCAAGAAAGAGAGACAGAGATGTGTACTGTAGTACAGTAGTAGATATAGTGACAGAGAGAGAG